TTAAAAGTTCAATTCTGAACATATTCAAAGAGTAGTATTTCTTCCTTAAGGTACAATGGCCAGAATTACATAGGTCATGATGACTTACTTATGATTAATGCCCTGTAAATATTTGTAGAATCAATGAACAGGAGTGAAGAGCTCTCGGTGAGACCTTGGTAAAGCAAGAAGATATTTTTTGCTTTGTTTCAAATCTCCCTCATGGTGCCAGGCATCTCAGTAGTATTATATACAATAACTACCTTGTATTGACAGCCTGTCCACCTAATCTCTTATAAACCTCCCCACATACCTACAGGCAAGGAAACTGTTTTGCAGATGAGGAAACTGTTCAAGGTGGCAAAGCTAATAAATTGCGGAGCCCAAATCTGCACCCAGGTCTGTTTCCCTCTTTACGGTATAGACTCGTCTTTCCACATTGTAACTCTCCCCAGTTGGGAGTCACTCTGGAACCTCAGCTTTGCACACTTAGGCCCCTCCTCCTCCTCCCTTCTGTTGTCGTTGTTGTTGTTGCTGGTGTTGCAGCCTGGGGATTAAAGGCAGGGCCTTACGTGTGCTGGACAAGTGCTCTCCCATCAACCACTGGAGCTGCAGCCCCAGTCCCAAGGCTCACTTTTTTTTTTCTTTCTTTCTTTCTTTTTTTTTTAGAGAGAGAGAGAATTTTAATATTTATTTTTTAGTTTTCAGCGGACACAACATCTTTGTTTGTATGTGGTGCTGAGGATCGAACCTGAGCCACACACATGCCAGGCGAGCGCACTACCGCTTGAGCCACATCCCCAGCCCCAAAGGGTCACTTCTTAAAATCCACCCAGAGATCATCAAACTCTGGTTCTCTAGGTGATGTTGGGGATACTTACAAGGCTAAGAAATCAGAATACCAGTGTATTTCCTTTAAACCATGTTATTGTGGGATCTAACACTCAGAAAGTGTATAAAATGTAAATGTAAAACTGTATATTACATGGTTACAAGATGAATATCCATGTAACCACCACCCAGGACAAGAAATAGAACAATGCTCGTGTACACCATGGCCTGTGTACCTTTCCCATCATGATCCCCTCCCTTCCCACTTCAGCACTAATTTTTGGTAATAACTCATTTACATTACTTTACGGTCTTGCCACCTGTGTATGACTCCCACACAGTATAGATAAGTTTCCCCCCCTCCCTTGTTTTTTCAGTGCTGGAGACCAAACTCAGGGTCTCATGCATGAAGACAAGTGCTCTACCACTAAGCTACCTCCCCAGCCCCTGCCTATTTTTAAATGTTTTACAAATATAATCAGTATGTTCACCTTATATCTATTAATCTTGTATCAGTTTTGTTTGCGAGATTCATCCGTGTTATGGTATTTAGCTATTGTCCATTCATTTTTTCTTTGCAGTATAGTATTCCACTATGAGAAAACACCACAATTTACATGTTTTTTTCATATGACTTATGGACACTGTGCATGCTTCTACTGTGGATATATTAAAAGGAATGTTTTAGGCTTGCAGAACTTCAGGCAGAGTGTCATTCTGCCACTACTAACACTGAGACATTGTACTGGATCCTATTTTTACTAAGGAAGCCAATGTTGTCTTCTTTCATTATTACCAGCATTATCAAAATGCTAAGTGTTGGCTCTATCACTGATAATCCATTCATCAGGACCCAGGGCCTTTAGCTTTCTTGGCCTGTGAAGTCAATGAATAATATATTTATTGTGAAATGTCTCACGTTCTCTTTATTGACAATGAGAAGCTTAGGCTTCATGCTTTTGAATCAATCCAATACACCAAATATTCCAATTCTTCTTTTCTTTGATTTCCTTCTTCTTACCCATTCATTGGATTTATCTCTGAGATTTTTCATGACAAGGTTGTTCTTAGAAATGAAACTTCCAGCCTTCCTAATGGGTTCGAGTGGCCTTTTGAGAAGAAGCCAACAGTTGATAGATTTGTTCCTGTCAGTGATGTTTCAAAAGCTATATCAGTCCTCCAAAATGAAATGAGAGCATGAAGGAAAAAAAAATTGAGAGAGTGAAGTGGTTTAGATTGGCAGAGGAAAAGGGAGTTTTCACTGGGAAAATAAGTAACTTATTAAAACTTGATCTAAAATTTTCTTTTGAGTGATATCAAAGAGACAAGCTTATGATATTTTTCCTGTTGACCTATATAAAACTCACCAATGATATGGCAGCATTTTGATCTTAGGGTATAATTTCTCCATTGCTACATACATTCATTTCTATTCTGTTTAATAAAATGTTTGATCATTTTTACATGGTCATTAACATTTTTAAAGATGACATCACTCTGGCCTTCAGAAATTAAAGCAAATGGGGCACGCGGTGGGGGTGGCGGGTGAGGTCTCATAAGTTGTGCACTCTGGACCCCTGAGTAGCTTTTATGCAAGAAACTTTGCCCTTGGACAGAGTATAAGATCCTTTCAGATACATTCAGCTAATTAATGTAAGACGTTCCCTGAATAGTGTGATAAATGAACAGAGCTGATTAACCTTTCTACTTTTTAAAGAATGCTACTATGAACTCTCATGTATGGGTCCTAATATCCATAAGTACGCATTTCTCTAGGAAGAGCGTGGCAGAGGAATTATAGAGTGTGTATTGCAAGCATTTGCCACTGCGCCAGGAAGAGGCTGTCAGTACCTTGAATAACAACAGTTAACTCTTACTAGGTGTTTCCTACGTGTCTGGCCCCTCCTCCCTCCCTCCCTCCCTCCCTCCCTCCCTTCCTTCCTTCCTTCCTTCCTTCCTTCTTCTTTTCTTTCTTTCTTCAGTGTATTACAGTCATACACATTAGTTGGGTACATTTTGATAAAATCATCCAGGCATGGAATTTGATTTACTCCATTTCAGTCCCTGGTCTCCCCTCTTTCCCTCTCATCCTCCCTTCCCGGTTCTTCCTCTGCTCGACTGGTCGTCCTTTCACTTGTTTATTTATTTATTTCTGATTGGTGCTTTACAGATATGCATAAAGGTTGAGTTCACGGTGGTATATTTATATGTGCACATAGTGTGAGTTCATTAAATTCATTCTGCATTTCCTCCCCTTCCTGGTCGCCCCTCCCTCCTTCATGATCTCTTTCTTCTACTCTGCTCATCTTCCCTATATCTTTATGATATCCAATCCTTCCCCCTCCCTTTTTTTCCTTTAGCAAATAGCACACCATTTAACTCTATACATATAGATCTGAGTCTTTCTCTATATTTTACCCCTTATTTTGCTCTAGCTTTCCCATATGAAAGAAAACATTTAACACTTGATTTTCTGAGTCTGTCTTATTTCAATTACATAACATTTTCCAGTTCCATCCATGTACCAACAAATGCCATAATTTCATTTTTCTTTAAAGTAAAACTCCATTATGTATGTATACCACATTTTCTTGATCCATTCTTCTATTGGGCTATTTCCATAGCTTAGCTATTGTGAATTGAGCTGCTATAAACATTGATGTGGCTGCATCACTATAATATGCTGATTTTAAGTCCTTTGGGTGTATACCAAGAAGTGGGATAACTGGGTCTTTGGTAATTCCATTCCTAGTTTTTTGAGGAAACTCCACACTGCTCTCCAGAGTGGTTGTACTAATTTTCAGTCCCACCAACAATGTATGAGTGTGCCTCGCCAGCATTTATTATTATTTGTGTTCTTGATGACTACCATTCTGACTGGAATGAGATGAAATGTTATTGTAGTTTGGATTTGCATCTCCCAGATCGCTAGACATGTGGAACAATTTTTCATACATTTGTTGGCCATTTGTGTTTCTTCTTTTGAGAAATGTCTTTTTAGTTTTTTCCTATTTATTGATTGGGTTATTTGGTATTTTGGTGTTAAGTTTTCAAGTTTTTTTTATATTCTGGATATTAATCCCCTGTCAGAGGAGCAGCTGGCAAAGATTTTCTCCCATTCCAGAGGTTCTGTCTTCATGCTCTGAAACCATTTTCTTTGCTCTGCAGAAGCCTTTAAATTTGGTTGCATCCTATTTATTGATTCTTGGTTTTATTTTTTGAACTTTGGGAATCTTGTTAAGGAAGTCAGTGTCTGGCTCTGTTGTTATTTTAATTGCTTTGTCTTACTTAACAGAGCTGCATGGCTATCTTGTAAAGTAAGCAGCTATTATCCCCATATTGCAGATGAAAAAAAAAAAAAACTGGTGCTCAAAGAAGTTTAACACTACTAGCTTTTGGATTTTGAAAGAATCTAATTGATCAATACACAGAAGTCACATGAGGAAGATACTATAAATATAATCCCTATTGATTTAACTGAAAAACTTTGAGACCGGAGAATCTTCTTTCCCACAAGGACAAAGAACATTCTCTCAGGAATTTTGTCTGTGAGCCTTCCCTGCCAGGTATAGACATTTATTAGGGGTACTCCAGGAGGAGAGATGGGGTAGCATTAGAAGATACTCCAAAGGAGACCAGGAAGCAATAGCAGAGAGGTAAGTGAAAACCAGGAGAGTCTGGTATCAGATTCTAAGAGAGGAGAACTTTCTGGCTGGCCTTGAACTTATGATCCTTCTGCCTTAGTCTCCCAAGTCACTGGGATTACAGTCATGCACCACCAGGCCCACAGGGGGACTTTCTGAAATGGAGGGAGTATATGCTACCGAGAGGTCACTAGTACATTGGGCTTATTTTGACAACGGGGTACTCAGTGCCCATGGCAAAAATGCTTCTATTGAGTAGTAAGAGATGAAAGCTGTGTTGGAGTAGATTAAAGAAAGGATGGAAAATGTTTAGGATCTGGAAACATAGAAACTCTTGAGGAAATTCCTTTGTCCAGCTACCTTGGGCTAGATGAGCTTTGGCAAGCCTTACTCCTGCCTGGCAGCTCCAGACAGGTCACCAGCTCTTCGGCATCAGTATTCATGGGCTTTGGGGGAACTGAACTCCTTTGAAAGTTGCTTATTTGGTTCACATTCACTCCATGCTTATTTTTTACCTTATCGTTCTTATTTATTTCCCACCTTTAGATCAAAATCGAACAAAAGCAGGCCCACCAGAAGTTACTAGACAGCACAAAGATGTACGCCTCGCTCACTGCAGAGTGGAAGCACTGTCAGCAGAAGATCAGAGAACTGGAGCTGGAAGGACTGAAGCAGGCTCAGAGCCTCAAATCGCAGAACCTTCTGCAGGAAAAGCTGGCTCAGGAGAAATCTAAAGTTGCCAGTGCAGAGGAAAAGGTAATTATCCTTAACCAACAGCCTTGCTCTGAATCCCACCACGGGAATGCTGTTTCCTCAAGGATTTCAAAAAATAGATAGTTTCAAACTGGATAGAATCCTAATTTTTTTTTCCTTTTGCTCTCCCTCCATTTTTACTTCTTTTGATTTCAACTGCTATTACAATTCCAGCAAATCTCATGTTTTTAAAAACTCCATGAACTTAAAATTTTCATTAAAGTAATAACGTGAATTTAAAGAACTGACTGAGCCCATAGCACTTTGTTTTATGTTGTCAGATTTTAAAGGGCTTATTTATTTTCCTCTCATTTGGGTTGACTGTTTATGTGGTTTCTATTTTGGAATTTTTACAAGGATTCTTGTTAGGAATTGAACCATTTGGGAACATTGCCCCTGCATTTTAGGTTACCTAACACCAGGTGGCAGTAGCATATAGCAGTTGCACATTGACATGTGCCGCTTTGTCTGAGTTAAGCCTTAGATAAAAGATCTTTTCATCAACCATATACATATAAAGCAAACATCAAAAAGAAGATGGAAGCAGAATTAATTAAACTAAATAAATCAAATGTTAAATTAAAAAAAGAAATACAATACAAAAGGGTTCATACTAAGATTGGGTGTGGTGGTACCTACTTGTTATCCCAGCAACTAAGAGGCTAAGACAAGAGGATTGCAAGTTCAAAGCCAGCCTCAGCAACCTAGCCAAGCCCTTATCAACTTAGCAAGACCCTATCTCAAAATAAAAAATAAAAATGGCTGGGGATGTGGCTCAGTGGTAAAGAACCCCTGGGTTCAACCCCTAGTACACATACACACACACACACACACACACAATTCTAATTATACGAAATTCAAGAACAAAACTAAACTACAGCCAGGTGTCATGGTACACACCTGTAATCCCAGTGATGGAAGGCTGAGGTAGGAGAATCACAAGTTATAGGCTAGCCTCAGCAATTTAGTGAGGCCCTAAGCAATTTAGCAAGATCATGTCTCAAAAAATAAAAAGGACCAGGGATGTAGCTCAGTGGTAAAGTGCCCCTAGGTTCAATCACTTGTACCAAATAAATAAATAAGCTACAGAGGTGGGATAGTCCTCCTCCTCATCTTTATGTTAAGTAGGAGGGACACAAGAGAATCTTCTGTGGCACTGAACTAGTTACACAAGTGATACTATGTTGAATATGCTTAAGACATGTATATTACTTAACATGTACATGTATGTTACTTTCCCATATGTATGTTCTTACTCCGGTTAAAAAATAACTTTTCAGGGCTGGGATTGTGGCTCAGCGGCAGAGTGCTTGCCTAGCATGTGTGAGGCACTGGGTTCGATTCTCAGCCCCACATATAAATAAATAAAATAAAGGTCCATCTATAACTAAAAAAATAAATAAATAAACTTCTTTAAAAATTAATTGGTAAAATTGATAAAAACTGGGTAAAATGTTTAAATGTGGTACTAAATATTGAGGAGTATTTGATGGAATAGGGACTTTTTATTTTTAAAGCCATGACATTTACCCCAGCCCACAAGAACTCTTATATACTAATGTTAGATGAAAGAATAAATTAGTATACCATTTGAAAAACAATTTGACAATAACTTGGGTTTTACTTGATTAATGAGGCATAGCTCCAGGAGTAGGAGCATTACCTGGTGGAGTTGCTATTCCTTTGTAATCCTACCCCTTTGCCCGTTTTTGGATAGAATGGTTTTGTGTGTGGTGCTGGGAATAGAACCCAGGGCCTTGTGCATGCGAGGCAAGCACTCTACCAACTGAGCTATATCCCCAGCCCTTGGATAGAATGGTCTAAGAAACAGTGTCCCCCAATAAAAGCCAACTCCAGAATGTAAGATCCCTGTCTCTCGTCAGCCTCTTGCCCCCTTGTAGGAGCCTGAGGCCAGGAGCTGGGGAAGCCGTCCTGAAGCTCATATAACAAGGTGTTCTGTGTCTGTGTGGTATTTTGCATCACTCCACATTCACTCGAATGACTTTGGTTCAGTTGCCTCGCTGGACGAGGGCAGCAATCCAGGACTGAGATTGATGCAGAAAGCCCTTCTTTTAGAAAAGGGCTGCTACCATCCACTGGCATTCACTGAATATTTGTGGGGAATATGGTGCTAAACCATTATAGAGGATTCCTTCTTGGGTCAGTAATACATCTAAAGAAAATAGCTATCCTTCTGAAATCTATTCATTTAACAAATATTTATTGAGCACCTACTATGTAACAGTTACAATTTCAGGTGAAACAAGGGTTTATAAAATGATAATAATAATGAGGAAGCCGGATGCAGGGGCACATGCCTGTAATCCTAGCAATTTGGGAGGTGAAGGCAGGAGGATCGCACCAGTTTCAGCAACTGAGCAAGACCCTGTCTCAAAATGAAATATATGAAGGGCTGGGGAATCTGGGCACGGTGGTACAAGCCTGAAATTCCAGCAGCTCAGGAGGCTGAGGCAGGAGAAATGAAAGTTCAAAGCCAGCCTCAGCAACTTAGCAAGCCCCTAAGCAACTCAGTGAGACCCTGTCTCTAAATAAAACACAAAATAGGGCTGGGGATGTCTCATTGGTTGAGTGCTACTGAGTTCAATCCCCAGTACCAAAAATAAATAAATAAAACGCTGGGGAATGTAGCTCAGGGTAAATCCCCAGTACCCCCTCCCCCACCCTGCAAAAAAATTTTGGGATGTAATTTAGCATACCCCTGGTTTCAATCCCAGTGCTGCCACAAAAAGAGGAGGAGGAGGAGGGGAAGAAAGAAAGAAAGTGGAAACAAATTTCAAAGGAAACTTGAATAGCAAAAACATGTTTTGAATGACACTTTTGATCTAACATGCATATTCTAAAATGCAATTATATAGGACCCTTTCAAATTAATAAATCAGATTTTTTCAGGGCTAGGGATATAGCTCAGTGGCAGAGCGCTTGCTTGTCTAGCATGTGTGAAACCCTGGGTTCAATCCCTAGCACTGCATAAAAAATACATAAATAAATATATCATGTTCATCTACAACTTTAAAAAATAAATAAATCAGATTTTCAGTTCTACAAGGATAATGAGGAACCTGATATTAGTGCTAGGTGATATACTAATAGGTACTTCATTCATAAGAGACTTCTGTTTTGTTTTGAGGTATTATTCATTAATCTAACCACACTCTGGAAAAACTAGATACTTTAGATACTTTCAACATTGTTGCTCAAAATATAAATTGGTCTAATTCCTATGGAGGCAGTTTGGCATTATCCATCAAACAATAACTAATATCTAATAAATTCTGCCCTACCAAATCACACTTCAAAATTTATTCTATAGACATCAGTTGTAATAGTGTTTTGTTGTTGTTGTCGTTGTTGTTGTTGTAGCAAAAGATTGGGGGCTTATTAAATAAGTTTAGTATGTCCTTATTGTAGAATGGTATGCAACTGTAAAAGAGAAGGTGACTCTATGTACAAATAATATGGAAAAAATCACCAAGTATATTTTTATTTGTAAAAGGCAAGATGCATAATTATATTTAGCATGTTATTACTTATATGAAATTTTTATGTGTATGAAGGATAACTATGTAATATTTATTTACAAATGAATATCTGAAAGGATACAAAAGAAACTAATAACAGTGATTACCTATTTGGTAGAGGAAGGCTGGGAGGAAATGGGATAAGGGTGGGAAGGATTCTTTTCATGAGATAGCTTCTTTTATACATACACATTGAATACTAATAATGATTTCAAATGGCAAATATCAAGTCACTTATTTTAAAGTTATAAAGTTATACTCTTTACCTTAGATCATATCTGTATGTTAGCTATGTTGGGGATCGTATGCTGTTTCCCTGATTCAAAAGGAAAAAAAAAAAAAGATTATACCCTTCCTAATGTTTTATTTGTCAACTTTTTTCATTCAAGATTTTGGACCTGCAGCAGAAATTGGAACAAGCTCATAAAGTCTGTCTCACAGATACCTGTATTTTGACAAAGAAAAAACTAGAGGAAAAGATCAAAGATGCAATAGAAAATGAAGCTGAGTTAAGGCAACAGTATCAGGAAGAACAACAGAAGAGGTAAGAGGAGCAGGATCTGAGTTTCCCAGGGGTGTAGCCAGGACTCAGCTCACCAGCAACGTTATTTCACTAAGGTGGTATTTCCTCAGTCTCACTGAGGCAGACTCAGTTACACTCACCACACTGCATCCTAGTTGTTTATTTTCTTGTTATCTCTGGCACAAGTGTGGAATTCCTAAAGGCAGAGCAGACTTCTTGTTTTGGTGCACACCTGGTACACCTGTGAATTTTCTTGAATGACTGGATTGCCAATGAATTATGATTGACACATATTCAGACTACAGTGAAGTTATTGTTTTACCTTTATCAGCTAATGTTCTTCAGGGTGATTTCAATAACTTATAGGCATCTTAATCATTAACAAATGCTGCCAGAAAGGAACTACTATCTCTTCTTTCTAAAATTATTATGATGATTATGATTCTTACTCAAAGCATCCTCTAGGAAGTCAGGCACAGGGGTACATGCCTATAATCCCAGAGACTCAACTCGGAAGGCTGAGGCAGGAGGATTGCAAGTTCTAGCCTGGACAACTCAGGACTGCTAGCCTGGACAACTCAGCAAGAGCCTGTCTCAAAATAAAAAGTAAATAGGGAGGGGATATGGCTTAGCAGTAGAGAATGCCCCTGGATTTAATCCTCAGTACTTCAAATATTTTTAATTAATTAACACATTTTCTGCTCTAAATTTCAGTAACTTCAATAGCTTAGTAAATTCATAGAAGTCTCTTATGAACCAAGTGCCTATTAGCACATCACCTAGCATCAATAATAGGTTTCTTTGTACCCTTGCAGAACTGAAAAATCTGATTTATTTATTTTTTAAAATAAAGGATTAAACCCAAAGCTTCATACATGCTTTTTATTTTTATGAAATTCAAAATGATTCACATATATTTTGAGAAAAATATGGTTTTAGCCACTAAAAAGATATGCAGATATTCACACATTCTTTGTAGATCAGAACCTTACCTAATGGGTAGCTGAAATTCTAGCCTTGGGCCTCCCTAGTGAATAAACATTGGAGTAAGTGAATGAATATATATATATATATATATATATATATATATATATATATATATATATATATATGAATAAATAATAAATCTACTCAGTGAGGTGCTATGAAAGAATATTTGTCTCCCCTGCCATATCTAGCAAGGTGACAGGCTATCCTGATGTTATAATGCCACTAGATTCTGATTATTTAACAATGAGCATACCTTTTAAAGTACTGCTCACAAGAAAGCAAGAAAAAGTCTTGTTATGGTATGAATATGAGGTGTCCCTCAAAAGCTCCTGTATTAATGCAGGAATGTTCAGAGATAAAATGATTGGATTGTGAGAGTGGAACCTAATTAGTCTATCTTAGTTTGAATGGATTGACTGGGTGGTCACAGTAAGCAGGTAGAGTATGGCTGGGTCACTGGAGGTGTTCCCTGAAAGGGTTCATCTTCCCTGTGGTTCCTTCCTCTGCACCTCTACTTCCTGACCCACCCTAAGTTGAACAACTTTCCTGTGCTGGGCTCTTCCCCCATGATGCGCTGCCTCACCGTGGACCCAGAGCACTGTTGTTGGCCATCTATGAACTGAGACCTCTGAACTGTGAGCTCCAAATTAATTTTTCCTCCTCTAAGTTATTCTTGATGGGTGTTTTGGTTACAATGATGCAAAAGCTGACAAAAACAAATTGGTACCAAGAAGAGGAGTCATTGCTGTGACAACCTGACTATGCAATTCAGAAGCCTTTGTAGCTGGTTTATGGGAGGAATTTTGAAAGTTTAGATGCAAACCAGAAAAGCTTTAGAATATTGTAAGCAGAGCTTAATGGGTGATTCTGGTGGCACTCAGAACAGAATGCTCATAGAAATGTCAACTGTTTGGTTTCAGAGGGAAATGAAAACCTTTAGGAATTGGAGTAGAAGCCATTTGTGTTACAGTCTGGCAAAGAACTTTTCTACATGTCCTGAGTCTTGTATGAGACTGAATTTAAAAGTGATGAACTAATTAATATGGCAGAGGAAATTTCCAGCAATACAGCATTCAACCAATTACATGGATATTGCTGGCAATTTTTAGCCAGGTTTACTGTGAAAGTCAGGAGCAGAAAGCAGAACTAAAGGATTTATTTTTTATACTGGGGATTGAACCCAGGGGTGCTTTACCACTGAGCTCCATCTCTGACCAGTTTTTTTTTTGTTTGTTTTTTGTTTTTTTTTTGAGACAGGGTCTCTCTAAATTGCTTAGAGCCTCACTAAATTGCTGAGACTCTTCTCAAACTTGTGATCCTCCTGCCTTAGCCTCCCCAGTCACTGGAATTATAAACATGTGCCACTGTGCCCAGCTCAGAACTAAAGGATTTTTTTTTATATTGCAGCTTGACATTGGTGTGCTTTTCATGTTAATACAGGAGAGTTTTGGAAACTAAATTGAAACTTATTGATGTTCTGAACTTTGAGCCAAAAGAAAAAAATCAGTACTATCTTTCCACATGTATTTGGGGTGAAGGCTTATTCTGAAACAGTCTGCCCATTGAGGTTATTAGCTTTCTGGCTTGAGTGTGTATGCTTTGTGCTTGAGAAGAATTGGAGGAAAAAGCAGATAGAATTCTTATTTTAAATACATATACAGAAGTCTTTGGGGTTTTTTTTTTTTAATTTTTGTTTTGGTAGTTGTGTTTGGAGAGCAGGCTTTTATTTTATTCGTTTATTTTTATATGGTGCTAAGGATTGAACCCAGTGCCTCTCACATGCTAGGCAAGCGTTCTGCCACTGAGCTACAGCCCCAGCCCAGAAGTCTTTGTTTATAGTGTAAAGTTCTTTATATTTTGTATAAAAACCAATTGTTTTGGTAAAAGTGAACCATTTATAGTTTTTTTTTCAGAATTTGAGTCAAAAAATTTTCCTTTAAATGCTTGTCTCAATTTTAAATTGGTCTTTTGTACTTATTTCAGAAAAAAAATGAATTAAAGGGTACAGCTGCATAAAATGGGTATTTATCCTAGTGGATTATAAATAAGTATAAACTTTTTTAAAAAAAATTACAGCTTGACCAGAAAAGTGTGAGTAAACCTGGAGAGGAGGAAGTTGTGCTTGGTTGAAGAGATTATAGCCCCTAAAGAGATGCTAGATAGTTAGCACAGAAACATGGGAAAGATGCCTCAAGGGCATCTCAGGAATTTGCAAGACCACACCCACTACAGGCTCCAGGGTACAGAAGACAAAGTTCTTTTGAGAAGATATCATGTGGGCACCCTGCTCACAAGGGGGGCCTCAGAAGTTATTTCACCATGCTGAACCTGCAGGTACTCACTGCTGCAGCCCTGCCTGGGGGTGGGTGGCGGGGAACAGGGGTATTGCATAAGCTGGCTGCAGACCTTGGCGTCATCAACATGCTGCTTCTGCAGAAATGCAGGATCTGGAGTCATGGATCCTTCCACTGAGATTTCAAAGGAAGCCCTGGGAGGCCAGGCAAAGTACAACAGGGTTAGAGTTCCTATGGGTTGCCACTAAGAGGATGATAAGCAGGAAGCTGTAACGATGGAACTGAAGTTGCAGTGGAGACCCCAGGAATTAACAGATGCCAGTAACATGGACTGTCTGCCAAGAAAAGCTGCTAGCTTCAGGGAGACAGCCCATGTGCACTAGCCCAAAGGCCAAAGGAGCAGGGCTGCTCAAGCCCTTTGGAAATAACACCTTGCAACCACGAGTCCTAGATGCTGTAGGTTTTTTTATGCTTCTATTCTTTCCTTTTAGAATGGGAATGTTGGGGCTGGGGTTGTGGCTCAGAGGTAGAGCGCTTGCCTAGCATGCGTGGGACACTGGGTTCGATCCTCAGCACCACATAAAATTAAAGATATTGTGTCCACCTATAACTAAAAAATAAATATTAAAAAAAGAAAAAAAGAATAGGAATGTTTACTCTTTGCCACTCTATATTGGATATATGTAACTTGCTTTTACAGGGGCTCACAGCCAAGAGGTTGCCTTCAGCCTCAGAGGAGACTTTGGATGTGGGCAATACAAAATTTAAGAATCTTGGAGATCAAACTCTTAGACATGGACATGAGCTTTTGGGGGCCCAGGGTAGAATGCTACAGTTTGGATATGATATGCCCCCACCAAAAGAATTCCTGTATTAATACAGGAACATTGAAAGGTGGAATAATTGTATTGAGAACTGTAACCTAATCAGTTCATCCTAGTTGAATAGATTTGAGTGGTAACCATAGGTAGGTGTGGCTGGAGGAGGTGGGTCACAGGGGTATGCCCTAGAAGGGTTCATCTTCCCTATGGCCTCTCCCCTCAACTCCTGTTTCCTGACCCCAGCATGAGCCAAGCAGCTTTTCTCCTCTGGGGCCCTCCCCCATAATATGCTGCCTCACTTTGGGCTCAGAGCAATAGAGTCAGCTATCTGTGGACTAAGGCATCTGAGACAGTGAGCTTCAAATAAACTTTTCCTCCTTTAAATTGTTCTTGTTGGGTATTTTGGTCACATAAATGCAAAAAGATAATTAAAACAAGCCCCAAGAGCAAAATAAACTAAAAAAAAATTTGATGAACAATATGCAAACTTCTAAGTCAAGGGACAGATAATAATATCAGCCCTGGGTTCTACTGCCTCGGCCTTCTGAGTTGCTTATCCTGGGTTCAGGAGAAGCCAAGGAAGCTTGCCACAAGCTAAGAGAGCTGAACTAAGAAAATACAAACAATCTCTGGAGGAAAGAAACCCTGATTTAGATAGTAAGGACTCCTCTATATCAAGCTTAATAAAATATAAACTTACAATTGATGTTACCAAACACCGCAAGGAAACTGGCTATCAGCAACAAAAATCAGCAGAAACAACAAGCACCAGATTTATAACCCCCAAGAACCTCAGCAACTGGGATTATGGAAATCTGATTATAAAACAACTGTGCAAAGGATTTCAAGAAACAAAAAATATAACCAAAGATTAGAACAATGAAAAAGGCTATTTAACTTTTCTGAAGCTTGGTGTTCTTATCTCTAAAATGGGAAAAGGGATACCAGTTCTGTACAGCTTCAATGAAGATTTGCTGAGAAGAAATATGTAGAAAAAATATTCAAACCAAGTATAGGAAAAAGAAATACATAGGGGAATTTTTCCATCATAAGGAATTACATAGCACATATTATTTTGTAAACTGGAACAAAGTTACTCCCATGTATACATTTAGATTGTTACATACTTTTTTTCTTAAAATATTATGTTCTGTTTATTTGACTGTAAATCTTCTATATCATTATTCTAATAATGTGCCATAAGTTGCTTAATAAATCCTTCATTGTTGGGCATTTATATTTTTTCCCAATTTCTTGCTATTATAGTGATATATATCCTGGCACATAATAAGCACTGTTATTGGTCAGGATTCAATCAGAGAAATAGAACCAGTGGGAGAAGTATATGTTTAATAAGAGATTTGTTGGTTTTATTTTGTTTTGTTTTTTTGCAGTGCTGGGGATTAAACCCACAGCCTCATGTATGTTAAGCAAAGCAAGAATTCTACCACTCAGCCCCAGCCCCAGCCCCAGCCCTAGTAAGATTTGTTACAGGGATTTGTTTTCTTTCTTTTCTTTTTTTTTTAACTTGAGATTGAACCCAGGGGTACTTTACCACTTGAGCTACATCCCCAGTCATTTTTAAAATTTTTTCAGACAGGGTCTCACTAAGTTTCTGAGGGTCTCACAGTTGCTGAGGCTGTCCTTGAATTTGCAATCCTACTGCCTCAGCCTTCTGAGTTGCTTGAATGACAGGCATGCACCACCTGATCCAGGAGCAGGAGAAGTTAAAGGAAGATCCAAGGGAAGATAGGCCTGGCTGTCTCCTCATGCCAAATGAACAACAGATATGTGGCAACATGTATGAACTACAGAAGCACCTGCCCCATCCAAATGTAAAGCACAAAATACTTCACTTTTACATTCTGCACAAATATATCTCTTGGCACATTGCCAGTAATCCTGCAGTTTGGGAGACTAAGGCAGGAGCATCACAAGTTCAAAGTCAGCCTTAGCCACTTAGAGAGTCCCAAACAACTTAAGTCCCTGTCTTAAACTAAACAAATAAAAAGGGTTGGGAATGTGGCTCAGTGGTAAAGTGCCCCTGGGTTCAATCCCCAGTACCAAAACAAACAAACAAAAAAAACAACTATATCTCTTATGGCCCTCTCCAACACATTAGAGTCACTATATTAAAAAGTGTTATTGTTATAATATTTTATGTTATTGTAATTACTGTTGTCAGTATTGTTATCATCTTCTTCAGTAGAGTAAGGAAAGACTATTTGGCCAGAATGAAACTCTTGGGAATAGAGAAGAGTGATAAAATGAGGCTAGGAAGGTCAACTAGGCTTAGGACATGTGGAGTCTAACAAACCACTTTAAGGAGTTTGGATCTGTTCATGAGAGATACTGGTCTACTGTTCCCTTTCTGGTAATATCTTTATCTGATTTTGCTATTATAGTAATGATTGCCTCAAAAAATTAATTAGGGGCTGAGCACAGTAGCAGACATTTGTAATCTCAGCTACTCAGGAGGCTGAGGCAGAATTGCAAGCTGGAGGCCGGCCTAGGCAACATAGCAAGACCCTGTCTCAAAATAAAAGTTTTAAAAGGGCTGGGGATGTAGCTCACTGGTAGAGTGCTTGCATAGCATGCATGAGGCCCTGTGTTCAATCCTAAGTACTGAAAAATAATTAGGAATTTTCTAGAAGAGATTATAGAAAATTGATATATATTTTCTTTATTAATTTTTTTTTTTTTGGTACCGGGGATTGACTACTGAGCCACATCCTTAACCCTATTTTGTATTTTATTTAGAGACAGGGTCTCACTGAGTTGTTTAGTGCCTCACAGTTGCTGAGGCTAGCTTTAAACTTGCGATCCTCCTGCCTCAGCCTAGCTTTGAACTTGTGATCCTCCTGCCTCAGCCTCCCAAGCTGCTGGAATTATAGACACATGCCACCATGTCAAGCTTCAGCTTTTGGTTTCATGCATATATATATATATATATATATATATATATATATATATATATATATATATATATATATATATTTCTATTGTTTCTATTTCTTAGAGAACCCTGACCAGTACACATAGATATATATTGTCTTTTATTTATTTTTTCAAGACACATTCTTGCTTGTTGCCCAGGTTGTCCTTGAGCTCCTGGGTGCAAGTCACCCTCTGCCTTAGCCTCACAAGTTGGGACTATAGGTGTATACCAGTGTACTTGGTTTAGTGTCTTTTAGACATTTTTTGCTATTATAAATAATGATATAATGAATATCTTTGTGTGTGAGACTTTGGAACTACAGTGAAGTGTGGTTGGTACTAAAGGAGGGTTGGGTTACTATAACAGAACATTCAGGGGCACCTGTGGAGCTCAGGAGCTTCCAAAAGCTTTCTTTAGGCTGAGAATGAAGCACTTGGTATGAGGAAGCTTGGGAGCTTATTAGGCAAAGGGGACCTAGAAGAGGAAGAAGGGAAGGGGAGAGTAACCGTGTGGAGAATGACTGCGAAGGAAGGAGCTGGAAAGCGATGTTTGAGGCTAGGGCAAGTGGCAAGAAAACAAGGCTTGTAGGTAGATGGGCCTAGTTCATGCAGAGCCTCACAAGCCACATTGAACAGTTTGGACTTTACCTTAAAGAACAATGAGGGGAGCCACTGAAGGATTTTAAGGTAGTGTGAACGTGGGAGAGCACTTGCCTTCCTTTCTCAAAAAGGAAAGATGGGAGGAAAGATGGTGGATGGTATGATTAGATTGTGATTTAGGAGGAACACTGGCTGCTGTGTGAAGGATGGATTGGCAAAGAGACTCAAGCTCTGCAACAGGATGTCTCACCATCCATGATTTCTATGTCTTTCATTATCGAAAATCTATATGTAATATATAAACTAATTCTAACATGCTCATGGGTTACTTTTTAAATTTTTACTTCCTATTTTTCAATTTCCATTTTCAACCCCGAATTTTACTGCAGATAGCTGAAGGGTTTTTCTTTTTTAATTCCTGCAAATTAATACTTCCCTTTCAGTTCCAAGGCTTAATCTCTCTCTAAGTCTGGTCCCTTGTTCAGGAATTGAGAGTGGAACCCTAAAGGAGAAAGAGGCACGAGTATCAGGGAATTGCTCAGGTAGACATGCAGAGGGTTAGACAACACAGAAATGATGGGTGGGAGAGAACGCCAGCACCTGCCTGTAAATGCAGCTACTGAGGAAGCTGAGGTAGGAGGATTGCAAGTTCAAGACCAGCCTTGGCAACTTAGTGAGATCCTATCTAAAAATAAAAAAATAAAAGGTCTGGGGATATAGCTCAGTGATAGAGTACTCCTGGGTTCAAATACTACTAGTAGCAAAAAAAGAAAAAGCCAGGCATAGTGGCGCACACCTGTAATCTCAACAGCTCAGGAAGCTGAGGCAGGGGATTACAAGTTTGAGGCTAGTCTCAACAATTTACCAAAACCCTATCTCTAAATAAAAAGGGCTGGGGATGTGGCTCAGTGGTTAAGCACCCCTGGGTTCAATTTCTGGTACCAAGAGAGAGAGAGAGAGAGAGAGAGAGAGAGAGAGAGAGAGAGAATGAATTGACAAGGGGATATTGAGAATGGGTATGAATGGTAGAAAGTAAGCTGTAAGAAATTCTTGGAGAACCTGCACTTATATGCAAGAAACATGAGAACTAGAGGTGGAAAGCAATGAGCCCATGTCTCAAATATAAATCATCCCCCCAAAATTCACTGCCTTCTCAGAATACTGAAGATAGAGAAAGCAAACTTCTCTGTTCAGTGTTAGTATTTTACCTCGCTAGCATTTGGTAGAATTTTTGCCCACGAGTACTATTTCATCATTACCATTATCATATTCTTTATGATGAGCCTTCTAGGTCCAGAAGACCTTGGTCTGAAATCCTCAGAACTCTCTCTAGAAACTGTAGTCTGCTAAGACTCTTTCTGAAGAAACAAAGAGCTAATGACACTCTTAGAAAAGGGTGAATTTCCTCATCAAGTGCGGGCTCATTTGTGATTTAACTGTAGCAGTGCTAACATGTACATTAGTGTCTATGGTGCTTCTAACCAACAGCCTTACAGTGAACCCAAAGGATCAAGGTCTCCCCTAATAAGGCACTGAATGAATATGGGATTCAGGGCTAGAGCCCCACCTCAGCTCTTTCCTGGCTGCTCTCTCTCTCTGCCACAGCACCTCATCTCTGAAAAAAAGAAAGATCATTTCTTCCCCGTAGGGTTATCTTGACAGTGAGACAAAGAACAAAGAAATTCTTAGAAAAACTTGTATCCAAAAGAGGGAGGTTCCCTGGGTTAGTCCTTTTATTTTATGGACACATACCCTATTTCCTTGGACAAAAATCCCCTGCGATGGCATAGAGATTTTGGGTCTGAGTTTCATTTTCAAAGTGTGACTTAACATGTATTCATTGCCTTCAGGAAGCTCCTAGATCATACTGTAAATGAGCTACAAAGGAAAGTGAGAACCTTACAGGATGAAGACAATCAATTGAAAATGACCGTGGCTCAGCAACAGGAGGCCCTGCTCAACCAACTGGAAAATGAAAAAAAAAAATCTAATGAGGTAAGAAAGTCCATAGATAGGCTTCTTGCTTTTCCTGTTCTCATACCTGAGTAATAGCTAATTATTATTCATTAAGTTTAGTCAGGGTTCTTTCGAGAAAGCAGAATCTATTCTAGGTATGTCAAGTGGAGGGGAGGGGAAATGCCTTCTCCGTATCCTTCCAGGTTCTTTGACTGGGCTACCAACAAAAATAGGAGAGAAGCTGTTTTCATTACACACATACTCAAATGGGAGTCCCATAAAATGTGAAGGGTCAGATGGCTGAAGTTTATACAGGCCCCCCCCCCCCCCCCCCCCCCCCCCCCCCCCCGAGCTACAGAAGGGAAACAGGAGCTTGGGGCCTCTGGGGCAGGATAGGAACAAGTTGTGGGAGGGCCGGGGAGGAGCTATAGGGTGAGTAGAGGTGGCCTTACATGCAGATCAAAGTCTCCTGAGTAATAGAAGTTGTCTGGAGCAGCCCTCTTCCTGACACACATTTTACTAATCTAGATCTCCTGTGTTGATGTACATTCCTTTTGTAGAAGGACAACTTTTCAGAGCTACTTCTGTGTCTGCAGTCTCTCAGAATAACCAACTTGCAATATGCCAAAGAACTCTATTTTAGGGCGGCATATTTTGGTCTCCTTACAGTGATGTTTTAGGGTGGCGTGTCCTAAGCCACAAAACAAGCAAGGAGGGATTTAATATAGGAGGAGAGATGCTTATCAAGCTGTTGGAAGGGAGTCAGGAGGAACTGCTGCTGGCTTTCCATACACACGGAAGTTTAGAAGCCACAGGGAAGCCACCTCCTACCTCACCAAGGTGGGGAAATTGCAGGAACTCTCCTTGAAGCCCCTTCCGATGTCCTGTCTGCTTGCTGCCCATTCATCTGCCCGCTAGTGAACACTAAGCCAGGAAAACCATTTTTTCTTTCTATACTCACGCCACTCTAAATACATCACTCTAATCCAGATGTGTGTTTTCCCTACACCAAGCAATTCTCCAATTCTCTGTGGACCCCAACAGGGCACACAAAAACTTAACTCAGTTCTGACTCTATCTCCCATAAGTAATCAGTCCCACAGACTGCCCCACTTCAGATGCTAATTGCAAGTCCAGGTTTCCCCTGTGTTTCTGGCCACCAGCTGTAAAGCCAAAGTTCCTAAACCCACATGGAGTTTGACTGTTTGTAGAATGACTCACAAATCTCAAGAAAACCGTTTGTATTTACAAGGTTACTGGCTTATTATAAAAGGGCACAACTCAGAAACAGACAGATGGAAGAGATGTGCATAGGGCAAGGTATGTGGGGAGGGACGCAGAGCTCTGAATCCTCACTGGGCTCACCACCATCCCTTACCTCCACATGCTCAGCAACCCAGAAGCTCTCTAAATCCTGTCCTTGTGGGGAAGGGGGTGGTTATAGAAGCTTCAGAAATCATCCCCACTCCATCCTGAACAAACCAAAAAAAAAAAAAAAAAATCAACAAATGGATCCAGCAGAGAAGTGAGTTCAAAGTCTGTACTCCCACCTTCTCAGGAGTTTGAGGTAGGGGGATCTCAAGACAAATGTAAAAATACTTCAAGTTGAAGGCCAGCTGCAGCAATTTCATGAGATCTTGCCTCGAAACATAAAAAGGCCTGGGGATGTAGCTTAGTGGAAAAGTGCTTTCCTAGTAGGTGTGAGGCTCTGGGTTTGATCCCCAGCACTGGAGGGGGAAAAAAAAAAGGAAAAACTGAAATAGATCCAAAAGGGCAAAACTTTGGTGAGAATATGTTGAATATAATGAAAATCTATAGATGGTTTCACCCAACAATAGCAGATTACATATACTTTTCCAGCTAATATGGAAAATCTCCAAGATGGAACACATTCTAGGATGTAAACTACACCTTAACAAATGTAAAAAAAATAGGTATCCTACAGTGTCTGCTTTCAGACCATATGGAATTAAACTAAAAACCAATACCAGAAAGATAGCTGGAAAACACCCAAATATTTGGAGAATTAAGGAACAGACTTCTAAATAACACATGGGTCAAAGAAAAAAAAAATACTTCAAGCTAAATGAAAATATTACTTATCAAAATCTGTGGGATATAGCAAAAGTAATACATAGAGGGATACTTGGAGCATTGAATGTATATATTGGAAGCAGGAAGTGTGAATCAGGCGGTATAGCGATTCCAGATTTCAAACTATATTACAGAGCAATAGTAACAAAAACAGCATGGTACTGGTACCAAAACAGGCGGGTGGACCAATGGTACAGAATAGAGGACACAGAGACTAATCCACAAAGTTACAACTATCTTATATTTGATAAAGGAGCTAAAAGCATGCAATGGAGGAAGGATAGCATCTTCAACAAATGGTGCTGGGAAAACTGGAAATCCATATGCAACAAAATGAAACTGAATCCCTTTCTCTCGCCATGCACAAAAGTGAATTCAAAATGGATCAAGGAGCTTGATATCAAATCAGAGACGCGCCGTCTGATAGAAGAAAAAGTTGGCTACGATCTACAGTCGGTGGGGTCGGGCTCCAAATTCCTCAATAGGACACCCATAGCACAAAAGTTAATAACTAGAATCAACAAATGGGACTTACTTAAACTGAAAAGTTTTTTCTCAGCAAGAGAAACAATAAGAGAGGTAAATATGGAGCCTACATCCTGGGAACAAATCTTTACTCCTCACACTTCAGATAGAGCCCTAATATCCAGAGTATACAAAGAACTCAAAAAATTAAGCAATAAGAAAACAAATAACCCAGTCAACAAATGGGCCAAGGACCTGAACAGACACTTCTCAGAGGAGGATATACAATCAATCAACAAGTACATGAAAAAATGCTCACCATCTCTAGCAGTCAGAGAAATGCAAATCAAAACCACCCTAAGATACCATCTCACTCCAGTAAGATTGGCAGCCATTAGGAAGTCAAACAACAACAAGTGCTGGCGAGGATGTGGGGAAAAGGGTACACTTGTACATTGCTGGTGGGACTGCAGATTGGTGCAGCCAATTTGGAAAGCAGTATGGAGATTCCTGGGAAAGCTGGGAATGGAACCACCATTTGACCCAACTATTGCCCTTCTCGGACTATTCCCTGAAGACCTTAAAAGAGCGTACTATAGGGATACTGCTACATCGATGTTCATAGCAGCACAATTCACAATAGCTAGACTGTGGAACCAACTTAGATGCCCTTCAATAGATGAATGGATTTAAAAAATATGGCATTTATACACAATGGAGTATTACTAAAGAATGACAAAATCATGGCATTTGCAGGGAAATGGATGGCATTAGAGCAGATTATGCTAAGTGAAGCTAGCCAATCCCTAAAAAACAAATGCCAAATGTCTTCTTTGATATAAGGAGGGCAACTAAAAACAGAGCAGGGAGGAAGAGCATGAGAAAAAGATTAACATTAAACAGGGACGAGAGGTGGGAGGGAAAGGGAGAGAGAAGGGAAATTGCATGGAAATGGAAGGAGACCCTCATTGTTATACAAAATTACATATAAGAGGATGTGAGGGGAAAGGAAAAAAAAAACAAGGGAGAGAAATGAATTACAGTAGATGGGGTAGAGAGAGAAGATGGGAGGGGGGATAGTAGAGGATAGGAGAGATAGCAGAATACAACAGTCACTAGTATGGCAATATGTAAAAACGTGGATGTGTAACCGATGTGATTCTGCAATCTGTATACGGGGTAAAAATGGGAGTTCATAACCCACTTGAATCAAATTATGAAATATGATATGTCAAGAGCTTTGTAATGTTTTGAACAACCAATTAAAAAAAAAAAAGAAATCAATAGAGTCCTCAAAGCAGGGGTGGTTCATCTCTTCAGATAGTAGAGGAAGACCTGCTGATGTTGGCAAGAGAAGCTTGTTGAATTTGGAGGTCTTCTCAAATGTTTTTATTCCCAATCCTCAGGTTTCCATGCAGTCCCAAAACCCAATTCACATAAGATACCTGGCAGGACTATGTGATAAATTTATGTTATAAATGTACAACCATTTGATGAAATTTGAGATTTGGGTTTTAGTTACATTGGCCTTCTGGCTACAAGAAAGTTTCCTTTAAGTTACTGACAGAAACTCTCTATGCCTTGTTCCAGGAATTAAATCCCCAAGTTGCATATTTTTCCTTGTAAGTTCATTAACAGGGTCAGAGGTGGCAAGCTCACCCTAGGTCCTTGTAGTTCTCAATTATAACATTATTTGTAATAGTCATGTGATTGCTGAAAGCTCTTCATTACAGGCAATTAAAAGTTGATAATTTTATAAACTCTTTTGGCACATGTTACTAGTACTAGTGACAAAATCACACTACATGTGAGCATCCCTGATCCAAAAATTTGAAATCAATATGTCAAGAGCTTTGTAATGTTTTGAACAACCAATAAAAAAAAATCTGAAGTCAGAAATGCTCCCAAATCTGAAATTTTTGAGTTGGGCACAGTGGCACATTTCTGCAATATAAGCTACTCAGAAGGTTGAGGAAGGAGACTGTCTGAGCCCAGGAGAATTGAGGGCCAGCCTGAACAACATAGTGAGACCCTGTCTATAACAATAAATAAACAACAACAACTCTTTTTGAGTGTCAACATGCACCCCAAGTAGAATATACCACACCTGACCTCATGTGATGGTTCATAGTCAAAATGCAGGTACATTAAAAACTTGTATAAAATTACCTTCAGGCTGTGTGGATAAGATCTATATAAAACAATTTTGTCTTTGGACTTCGGTCTCATCTGTATATTAGGTAAACACAAAGTCCAAAATCTAAAAGAAATTCAGAATCTGAACTACTACTGGCCTCAAGCATTTTGACCTGAACTTTCAAATATAACCAGGTCAGTTTCCCAACTTTGAGGGTTTTTTTGTTTTGTTTTTTTTTTGTACCAGGGATGCTTAACCACTGAGTCACATCCCCAGTCCTTTTTATTTTTTATTTTGAGACGGGGTCTCACTAAGTTGCTTAGAACCTCACTGCTGAGGCTGGTCTTGATCTTGCAATCCTCCTTTCTTAGCCTCCGAAGCTCTGGGATTATAGGTGTGCGCCACCATGCCCATCTTAAACTTTGAGCCACTTTAAGAACCAAATACCTTATCAGTCAAGATTAGGTGGAGAAAATTGTTTGTGTTTTATATACTTAGGTTATGAAAAAACAAACTGCTTCTTTTTCCCTCTGCTCTCATACCACACCAATCTACTCAGAAAACTCTGACCTTGAAGGACAGGAGCACTCTCCCCAGCAGCAGTGGACTCCAGCTGGGCATTCAGTTCTGACACAGTCTACCTGGAGATAGCATCAGAGACCAAGAGTAGAGGGCTCATTCCCCAAGTCTGTTCTCACTTTGGTCCTAGCAGAAAATCCAGGCCTGTGGAACTTCTTACCAACAGTCATATTTTGGGGTTCTCACTACCCCCTCCTCAAGTTTGACTAGTTTGTCACAATGACTTACAGAACTCAAGGAAACACTATACTTACATTTACTGGTTTATTACAAAGGGGAAGTTCTGAAAGGGTCTTGAGTGCAGGAGCTTCTGCCCCCAAGGGGTTAGGGTGCACTACACTCCCAGTGCGTGGGTGCATTTTTGTTTGCCTTCTGCAAGCTTCTGACCCCATCTTCTTAGGTTTATATGGGGACTTATAGCATAGGTGAGATTGCTGATAGGCTGAGTGGGGCACCTTATTCAGCTTCTTGGCTTCTCTGTGCAACAACATGCCTCCCTTCAGGGTACAGTGAGGACCCCTTTTGGAATGAGGAGGGTCATATGACCAGCTAAAGACAGGGTAGAGTTTCTAAAACTTCCTTGGAAAGGGAGTTATCAGCCAGGAACTGTGTTCAAAGACCAAAAATCATATGTCCTAATACCACAGTACTTTCAGCTGGAAGATTTTTATATAGAGAATTAAATGCTTACAAAATTCTTGAGAAGGCTTGGGGAACAAAAGTCAAGGGAAGCAGCCGCTGGCCTTGGGGAGCTCTGGAAGGATAGGAGTCACATGAAGTGACTCTGATCTCAGAGCTGGAGTGTCTGTAAGCTTTTTTCTGCAGAAAAGCTTTGCCAATTTACCTTCCCCTCCACATCACACCTTCGCTGGCAAAGACTCTCTCTCTCTAATGTTTTTCAGCATATCAAGAGCAATCAGGAATTGTCAGAGAAGCTGTCGGGATTACAGCAAGAGAAAGAAGCTCTATGGGAAAGATGTGTGCAATTTTTGGAGCAGTTTGATGAGCATGTGAGGTAAACAAAAGCGGGTTCCCTTTGGAGGAAAACTGTAGAACAGCTGCTCCTGGCTGAGCCCACCCCAGAGCAAAGCGCTGGGTGCTCCCAAAGCAGTCTTTCAAGGTGCCATCATGATTTCCCTGAGGCCCTGGAAGTTCCCACTACCAGGCTTTTCCTGGGAAGATTTGGGGCCCAGTTTCTTCCCAATAGAGAGGGTGAGGAAGAGAAGGGCATTTCCGCTTATGGAGCTCAGTCAATATCTAACTTGTTTTTTCCAAAATTATACTTGCCTTCGGGTTTTTCCCCCTCACATACTCTCCTCAGCCTGGACCACCCTCTCCCTATTCCAACTCTTCATTTTAACTTCTAATTCTTAGACTAGGAATCACCTCCTCAAAGATGCCTTTTTTGACACCCGCCATAATCCCTTGTAAATGCTTCTCTGTACTTATTTCAGAATTGGCCATGATGTTTTCAAATAACATGATTTACTATCAGTCTCCCTCACCAGACCACAGCCTCTTCAAGGGCATGAGCCATGATCTTATTCATTTTTTTATCCATACTCCCTGGTATATAGTAGATACTCAATTAAAATGAATGTTCCTAAGTAGGCCCATTTATGCATGTCTGTGGTCCCTGTGACTTGGGAGGCTGAGGGAGGAGGATCACCTGAGCCCAAGAGTTCAAGGCCACACAGAACTGGACCATATAGTGAAACCTATGTCTTTAAAAAAAAAAAAAAAGAGGAGGAGCCCTGGGCATGGTGACCCAGGCCTATAACCCAGGGACTCAGGAGGCTAAAGCAGGAGGATCACAAGTTTGAGGTCAGCCTCACCAACTTAATGAGCCCTGTCTCAAAATAAAAACATAAAGGGCTGGGATGTAGCTCAGTGGGAGTGTGCTTGCCCAGAATCTCACATACGCAAAAAAAAAAAAAAAAAAAAAAAATCTGAAGTTATTATCTTTTCCATTTTCTGCTCATAATTCTACCTGAGTCTTTTTCCTTTCCTCCTCTCTGAAGCAATGGAGCAAAGTAATGGAGAAAATGGACTCTGGAGCCACAGTGCCTAGTGACAAATCCTGGCTCTACTAGAATTGCTAACTTTGCGCGAGTTATAAAACCTCTTTGTGCCGGAGGCTCCTCTCTTTAAAATATACAAGATAACAGTATTTATCTCATAAAGTGGTTGAGACCTAAGTGAGTGGATCTCTGGAGAGTGCTGACTTAGCACAATGTCTGGCACATGGCAGTGCTATTATTATATTTATTTCTTGTGCTTTTTCCATGACCCACCTACCTCTCTGCTCTGGTCCTCCTATAGGTTCAAGTTCCTTATTCTCTTACCTACCTACTATATTGATGGTATTAATGATTTAAAAAATATTGTGTAGCCAGATGTGGTGATTCAGACCTGTTATCCAAGTTATTGAGGCTGAGGTAGGAGGATTGCAAATTCCAGGCCAGCCTCCACAACTTAGTGAGACCCCGTCTCAAAATATTCTATTTCTTTCTTTCCTTCTTTCTATGGTGCTGGGAATCAAACCCAGGGCCTCATGCATGCCAGGCAAGTGCTCCACCACTGAGCCACACTTGCCAGCTCTGTATTCTTTTTCTCTTAATATCTCATAGGCCATTGCGCTTTGTTGCTATAGCCTTTGAATTTGTATTCATAAAATATTTTTTAAAAGTTGGTATGCCCTTGGAATAACACTGGCAGTTGGATTGCTAAAAACTAAGAGAACCCAAAATGACATGCTCACACATGCATAACTTATTGCAAGATATAATACAGCAACAGCATTAGGAGAGAGGTTTGCATTACAGCCCCTGGGTGTCTCTGAAGCAAGGGGTCCAGAGAAGTTAGGCAGGAGTTGACAGTGGCCCTCCCTCTGCAAGAACTATGGCAGATGTATTTCCTCTTTCAGAACAGAAACCATGTATCACTGAAGACCTCAGAACCAGGAAACCCATGAGTCTCAGATTTTATTTTTATGTTCTACATATAAGCCTATTCCTGCTGTGTCACCCGCCTCAAGAGCAGAGCTTTCTTTGGGTCTCACTGAGACCAGCACAAATCATCATTCTCAGTGTTACCAATAAACAATGCTGACAAACTGGTACAAAATGCCATGATACTCCTTGAGCCAGTGGTTATGAAGCCACATTGTTTTAATTAGCATATTTCATGCCTTGACCAGAAGTTAGTGCCAAGCAGGAAAAGCAGCTAAACATTTTAGGTTACTTTTAGGTCTGCAGGAATTAACTGTCACAACACAACCCTAATTTAGTTAGGAATTAGTCAGTGCTCCAATGGTTGAATATTTTTATTCAAAATGACGCTGAAAAAAATAATTTTTATATATTTTTTCTCATTTTAAAATTTATTGTTATAGAACTATGGACCTTAAAATGTATTGACAAACATCTAGAAGCAGCCTACTAAAATGTGTTCCATCATATAGAAGAGTAGCAATTTCTCTACATCTTCATTTGCATTGGGTACCACTATTGATGGGAAGTGCCTAGACCCTGATGAAAATGTCCCTAATATTCTTTGTTTGGATTGAGGTATAATTTACATTCAATAAACAAAAGATTTTTTAATGTACAATTGGATGAGTTTTGACAACCACCACCCCAATCTCCTGTATGTAATCTTTTTTTTTTTTTTTTTGGTCTGACTTTTGTTTGGTATATTCCATTATTTTAATGTGTGCTTGTAGTCAGAAATTGTCACTTTGGGGGAAGGGGAGGTTCTAAGGATTGAACGTAAGGGTGCTTAACCACTGAGCCACATCCCCAACCCTTTTTTGTATTTTATTTAGAGATAGGATCTCCCTGAGTCACTTAGCTCCTTGCTAAGTTGCTGAGGCTGGCTTTGAACTTGTTATCCTCCTGCCTTGGCCTCCCAAGCTGCTGGGATTACAGGTGTGTGCCACTGTGCCCAGCTGTCATTGTATTTTGAAATCTTGATGGCTGGGATGAGGCTGAGTATTTTACTATGTTATTTGCCTTTAGCAAAGTAGATCTTCATCTTGGCTCCACATGCCTGGGTCCCAACATAGATTAATTAAATCAAAATCTGTCAGCATAGCACCTATAAATCAATATTTTTAATATTATTTTAGATGTTGATGGAGCTTTATTTTATTCATTTATTCATGTGTGGGGCTGAGAATCGAACCAAGTACCCCACACATACCAGGCAAGCACTCCACCTCTGAACCACAACCCCAGCCCAAATCAATATTTTTTAAAAGCATTGCCATATGACTGTATATCCAGAGTTGAAAACTACAGATTTATGAAAGAAAATAAGAGGAATCATTAAAACTCCAGATTCATTTTTGTTTTCACTCTCCTGATCCCAAGTCCTGATCTGTGCAGACAAGGATTATTTTTTACATTTTTTTCAACCACTCTTTCAGAGAAACAAATTCCTTGCCTTTTTGAAATCAACATAATAAACAATATGGTTTTACTTGAACGCAAGCTGAAGGTTGGTCCTAAATTTTAGAAGCCAAGTATTGTGCTGTCTCATAATGTTTAATTAACAAAGCCAAAAATAAACATAGAAAATCCACATGTTCTTTGGGCCTGTTGGCCAATAGAATTTCAGACCAAGCCAGTATCTGTGCCAGATAGCCAGCTAGCAATGGCCAGGGAAGGTCTAAGCTCCACCAGCTGCACTGTGTCCATGTACTCCTCAGACCTGCAAAACACCCCAGGGAGACCTAAATATCCCAAACTAGGAGGCCAGTTAGATAGAGTATAAAACATTCACTTCATGAAGCATAATACAGCTACAAAGGATGGTGGCCACAAAACTATGTAACAACATGGAGAAATGCTTATGATACATATCATATGTTTATGATAACAAATGAAGAGGGTGTAAGATAAACATTGTAATGAAGAAAATGTTTAAACAGAGATGCCTATAAAAATACTAGAAGGAAAAACAATAATATAATATTGACCGATACTGGAAGTTGGATATTTTCCCCAAATGTTCCGTAATTTATCCTCTTACTTTAAAGTATAAATTTATTCTTTTTTGAAGGATATAATGGGTATGGAACCCAGAGGCCCTCTACCACTGAGCTACATCCCTGGCCCTTTTTATTTTTTATTTGGAGACAGGATCTCACTGAGTTGTGGAGGCTGGCCTTGAACTTGCAATCCTCCTGCCTTAGCCACCTGAGTAGTTGGGATTACAGATGTGTGCCATGGCATCCAGCTTGAATTTATTTTTTAATAATCCAAAAGGCAGGATAAGAGAGACAGCAGCTATCTGGAATAGGAAACTATAGACTGGGTTTTAATATCTCATTATAGGATGGGTGGAAGAAATTCCAGAAGTATATTTTGTGTTTTCAATTATGTCAAAACATCCAAGTTACTACAAACAACTGGGAAACCTGGAGGATGACGGGTATATTATTGGTACCCTGCTAGATATTACATCTCTGAAGCTATTCAGGATGCTGAAACGCAGTGCTAGTGATACCTTTTACCAAGCATTCCTAGTAAAAAGCAAAATGAGATCATTTACAAAGTGGAAATATCTCCTTGTAAAGAATCAAAGTCACAGCAGTGGTAATTGTGAACACAATTTACAAAGTGTGTGCCTCATATTATGTAGCAGGTGCTGAACCCAAATGGGACTCAGACAGTTTTAGGAATGTACTTTTATATAGCAAACTACATTAATTAAGATACTGTAGCAAAGACCCTGAATAAAAATAGTTTCCAAAAGGGAGACACTTCTCTCTTACCTAACAATGCAGACCTAAGCAGTTCAGGATTGCTACGGTGGCTCAGTGCATCAGAACCTGGGCACCTGCTATATTGTCTGTTGCTCCAGCTTCTTGAACATGTTTTCCTTATTCATGTAGCTCAAGACAGCTCACTATTATATCCATCCCAGCCAATAAAAAGGAAGGAAGGGAAAGGCGATGGCATTGCATTTTCCAACAAAGCATGCTATTTCCCCTTACATTCTGTTAGCCCA